TGTCAGAATTAAACAACATATAGCTATTTATTTTCTATATGATAAGGATCTTGGTGGGACTCGTAGGCTTAAGATATTCAAGGCCAATCAGAATAAAATATTTGAAAATTCACATTTGTTTGCAAATTCCGTATCGGGGTGGGTTGTGATTATGAGGGCAGAGGCTGCAGTGGCTTGAGCATCTTTGGGCTTGGAATACACTTCACACTGCCTTTCCACCTGCATTCTGGCTTAATTTGATCCAGGGTGGACAGCTTCACTGTTGCCCCTGGGTTCCCAGCTCAGGCTTAATTTTTTTTTTTTTAATATTTATTTTTGTGTATGAGTGTATTGCCTGCATGTATGTGAGCGCACCCATGTCATGCAATGCCTTGGAGGTCAGAAGAGGGCTTTGGATTCCCCTGGAACTGGAGTTAAGGACGGTTTGTAGCTGCCATGTGGATGCTGGGAATCGAACCAAGCCCTCTGCAAAAGCAGTGAGTGCTCTTAACCTCTGAGCCATCTCTCCAGCCTAACTAGACTTAATTTTTTACTAATACAATCTGGTTTGCAAGTGACAATATGTTCAAAGATGTGAGCAGTGCAGTATGTCAGCTTTCTATTTACATAGTTTTCTCCTTTGAACTGATACATTCTAATGTCACATGTAGTTTATATGTGTAACTATAATAGTGAAAAACAAAATTATATTCAAATAAATGATGAGTCCTTGGGCTCTTCACAAATACCTCTTCATGTGCTAGAAGCTTACAGTTAGAAATGGCACAAATAGGCCAGGTGTGGTGGCACACGCCTTTAATCCCAGCACACAGCAGAGCAGGGAGACCTCTGAGTTAGAGGCCAGAAAAGAAAGGAAAAAAAAAATCATTTTGTACAGTGAAAAGAGAGTAAATTTATTCCCTTTCATGAAGATTTTCAGACTTGCTAAAAAAAACTGTTAGTGGGCTGGGCAAGGTGGTACATGCCTTTCACCCTAGCACTTAGGAGACAGAGGCAGGCAGATCTCCGTGAGATAGAGGCCAGCTTAGTCTTTATAGCAAGTGCCAGGTCAGCTAAGGCTACAGGGAAATCCTATCTCAAAAAGACCAAAACAAACAAAAACCTGTTAGTAGGCGTTTCTCACAGTATACTTACCTGTATCTTTTTGACTGTTTCTTCTAACATCTTTAAACTTACAACCTACAGATAAGGCAAGAGAAAAAAGTCAGTCTGTTTCATATCACAAAGTATATTTCAACACATATATAGCTACTTTAGGAAACCATTTCACATGACTGTTTTAATTCTGGTAGACTGTGAATATTAATTTCTTAGACTTTTAGAAACATAATAGGACTTCGTAGATTCCAGCTGAAGGAACTCTTTAATACAGGATTCCTTATTCTGTAATTTTCTATAACACTTCCTCGTCATAGTCTTAACCTCATTTGTTCCCCTGGCTTTAAGATTTATTAAATTAGGTAAATCAGAAATGTGGCCCCAAATGCAGGTCTGGAAGAGCTGAAGAATGGATGTTTTCCTTTCTTAAGCTCACCATGAAGTCTCCCAAAACGGGCTCTTCAGTGGTTGTCTATGAAATTCTTATATTGCTTAGTACACTAATGTGTCAGCTGACAAAGACTGTCCTAAAGATACTAGCGTTACCTACCTGGAAGAGCACACAAACCAAGAAACTGAGAACAATTCACTCGGGACAGAGGTAGCCTGTGAAGAACAATTTATCAAGCTTAGATTTTTTTTTTAAGTTATAAATGGAAACTCAACTTACCCAACAAGAGTGCATACACACTAAGGGTGTTTTAAAGATTTTTTTTTTTTTTGGTCCTTTTGAGATAGGGTCTCGCTGTAGCCCCAGCTGTCCTGGAACTCACTATGTAGACCAGGCTGGCCTTAAACTCACAGAGATCCTCCTGCCTCTGCCTCCTGAGTGCTGGGATTAAAGGTGTGCGCCACCACGCCTGGCATTTTTTTTTGTTTTGTTTTTTTTGAGATAGGGTCTCCCTGTAGCCCCAGCTGTGCTAGAACTCACTATGTAGACTAGGCTGGCCCTGAACTCACAGAGATCATCTGCCTCTGCCTCCCAAATGCTGGGATTAAAGGTGTGCACCACCATGCCTGGCCCAAAGTTTTACAGAAATCGCAAAATACCAATTCATAGTTAGTTACGTGGGGCACAGAAAGGCCTAGAATGACTGAAAGTTTGAAAATGGGCTTACTGTATTGTAATGTAAATCTTAAAACAGCAAGTTAATTTAAATTCACCTTAAAGGTTAATGATTCCTAGATCACCAGCAGTTAGTGTCAGTGTACTCAAGTCATCCTGTGGTATGTATCCAAATGCTTGGGACCAGTGTTTTTTAGATTTCAGAGTAGGGATTAGGGAATATTTACATAGACTTTACCAGCTCAGCATCCCATCTGAATATCCAAAATTCAAAGTGCTTAAAATCAAAAACTTTTTTGAGTATCAGTGTGATTCTCAAAGTTTTGGATTTGGGGGCTTTTCAGATTTCAGATTAGAGCTGCTCAACCTATAGTAACATTAGCTGAATGATATGAAAAATGATCATTGGAAAATTGTATTTTTAATATTCATCTTACCTAAATGCCTAAGTGATTAGTAAAGCACATCTCTGAGTGTGTATGTGAGTGCATTTCCAGAAACAGTTTGATCATAAGGGCTCTTGCCCAATGACTGCTTTAAGCCCTTGATGGACTTAAAGACTATTGGGAAAACTTTTATTTATTTTTATCCTATGCGTATGAGTATTTTGCATGCATGTAAATGCACCAGTGCGTATTATTCCTGTGGAGGTCAGAAGAGGGCGTCACATCTCCTGCAACTTGTGTTAAGGATGGTTGTTAGCTGCCATATGGGTGCTGGGAACCAAACCTGGGTCCTCTGCAAAAACAGATAGTACTTTTAACTACTGAGCCATCTCTCTAGCCCCAATACAGTGTTTTTGTAAACAGAGTCTGCTGGTAAGATTCTTTACTATGACAAATTGTTTTTAAGTATTATCTAGGATTTAACTTAATGGTAAATGATTAAATATGTCATCTCATTCTTGGTATAGTTTTTCTTTTGTAGTAAAAGAATGAATTAATTTTGGTGGGAGGTCATTCAAAATCCTACCTTTATTTTTAATTTACTTCTACTAAGGCATTTTCCTCTCCTCCAGTATCTAAAAAGAAGGATTAAAAAAGGGAGGGTGGCTGAGAGATGGTTCAGTGACTAAAAGCACTGGCTGCTCTTGCTGAGGACCCAGGTTCAGTTCCCAGAACCCACATTGTGGCTCAGAACATTCTGTAGCTCCAGTTCCAGGGGATCCACTGCCCTCATCTGACCTCTGCAGGCATGGCACACATGTGGTGCACTTACATCCATGTAGGCAATATACTCATACACATAAAAAAATCTTTTCTTTTTTTTTTTTTTTTTTTTTTTTTTTTTAAAAAAAAAAAAAAAAAAAAAAAAAGAGGACGATAAATCTTTCACTGTGATATATCAAAATAAACTCACAGAGATCTGCCTGCCTCTGCCTCCCAAGTGCTGGGATTAAAGGCAAGTGCCACCATGCCCCATGCAAAATAAATAAATCTTTTTTAAAAGGGGAGGAGGGCCACGGAGTTAGAAAATCCCTTAAAGATTAAAACCCTATAATCATCAGAGGAGAATATTCACATTACCTTTTACAAATATAATGATGTAACAGCAAATATTTTAGCTCACCATTGCAATGTTAACATACCATGAAATCTGAATTGGAGTCTGTTCATCTTCAATAGGTTCTTCATCTGAAGAATCAAACTCACTTGCTTGTATTGAAATGGGCTTCAAAAGAAATGTTACATTAAATTACTATAAAGAATATTTGCATATAGCTTCACATAGCTGATCCATGCTTAAACATCCACTAAATTGCAACTTATTTAGAAATTAACCTTTGCTATTAGAGATCAGCAATACCAGTAATAAATGATTACTATTTACTATGCTAAAAATCACATAACTTTACTTACTATTTTACACATAACTATTTATTATGCTAGAAATCAGGTAAGTTATTCTTCCCTTCTGGCGACAGTTGGAGCCAAATGAATGGCAGGAATTAAGGACAACTGACATCTCATGGACACATGATTAGTAAAGTGTAACTATCTAGTGCCCTGCCTAGCTCTCAAACGCTCTATAAAGGTCTGAGCTGACTTAGGCTATGGGTTGGAGTTTCTCTGGATCTCTCTGCAGAATTAAAGTCAATGAGTCCAAAGGAAGCCTTTCAATAGGGTGTCAACCGTGGAGGTCGATAATGTGGGTCAGGTGGGGCATCAACTCCTGGTTGGGACCTAGCTTTCTTTTTTTGTTGTTGTCATTTAAAGCAATCTTGATTAAATATTTTAAGCTTGTGCAGCCCATTCACGCCACTTCTCTCAGTCAGGTGTAGATAAATCTTTTCTGCTTCTCTGGGCCCAGAGATTCTGACCCATAGGGAACGGGATGCAGTGCTAAGGGACCCCTAGGGGGATGGTAGTAGGCGTGATGTCACCCGCAAACCAGGGCTTGGCAGCCTTAGGGGCCGGGGTATCAAGCCGAACGCTAGGAGGAGACACGCGCGCTCTGTAAGACCTGGTCTGGCCTTCTCTGGCAGAGATGCCCAGTCAAGAGAGCCCTAAGGCGATGAGTGACAGCCTACAGCAGGCGCTCAGCGAACCTCCGACTTCCCCAGGGCTCACGGAACCCCTGCCCAGTCGCGGCTGGCTCCAGGCGGCCGTCATTCTTGGCGTCCCCTACCCGCAGGACGGTTGTGGTGAGAGTTGTGCCGCCGGCAGGCGAGGCCGCCGGTCCACCGCGGGAGCCGGCTACAGGCCACCGCCTGTCCCTGCGGCGCGGCTCCTCTCGCGCCCCGACCCACCCCACTCACCGGCTTCATCGCTGGCCGCCGCACTCCGTGACCGGTGACGCCGCTCTCCCAGCATCCGCACCTCAGCCGGGCCCGCGTCGGATCTGCCCTTCTATCAGCCCATTGGTCCATCTGTGCGGGGAGGTGGGACGCGGCGTCTTGTAGCAACCAATCAGATTCTAGTTCTGTTTCTTCCTCTGCCTCCGAGTGCCCTGGCTCAGTCTCTAACTGCTCATTGGTTCTGAGGAGGTCTTTGAAAGACGCGCGGGAGGGGGTCCTGGAGGGCGTCGATTGGCTGGACGGCTCCGCCCCTCCGCCAGTTGGGAGCGGGGACCGGGCAGGGGGCGGGACGAAGTGTCTTTTCTCAGTTCCTTTGCTTTGGAGGCTGGAAATCTCTAATGGTAAAGAGGCCTGAGTGATACCGGGATGGGGAAATTTCTTGACTTTCTTAAAGTTTTCTTTTAAATGGTTTTAACTTTAAGGGCATTGTGATTTGTGGTGGGGAGCACTGCACTGGAGGTGTTCATGTGAAAACATCACACAGACTGTCATTTGTCATACTTAGTCATATACATATAATGGAAAAGTCTAAACATGCAAAGTATAAGCACATTTTACATACTTGGCACTCAATGTTCTTTACCGTTTCTGGATATACACAAGTTAGCTTGTAGACCAGGCTTCCTGTTCACCCAATATGAGTGTATTAATACTGTATGAAAGGGAGATAAAATGATGCCAGTTGGGTCTACCTTTGTAGATCCCTACACAATCATCTCTAATTTTCTAAAACCATGTCTGGTTTGTTTCTTGTCTCATTCTCCAGTCCTCATGTAGCTGGCCATGGAAAGGAAGTCACTGGGAGCAATAGCTCCTGCAGATTTGAACCTGTATGTAAAAGTCAGTGGACAGGAAGCTGTTAGGAAGGATGACTTCAAAACCAAATTAGTCAGGGATCTCTAGAGAACTAGAATAAAATTCATTTTCTGCCCCCCCCGGAAGAATCCCTGTTGTAGATAGACTCTGAAGACCAATATGCCAAAAGAATCCATCCTCTTTTCTATTCAGGCTCTTTTCTATTCAGGCTTTCAACTGACTGGATGAGGTCCAGCCCTGCTATGGAAGTCAATCTGTTTTGCTCAAAGGCTACCAACTTAAATGTATCACATCTAAAAACACCCACAGAATCATCCAGAATAGTGCTTATCCAAGTATCTGGGCACCTGGCTCAGAGAAATTGACATATAAAATTAACCAACATAGAAACCCACTGGAATTTTCTATAGTAAGGGAATCCTTTTAGATCTGTGCTTCCAATATGGTCACTATATTGATTAATGATCTCCCAAATTAAAGACTAAATTAGAACAACAACAAAACCAAAATAAGGAAAGGCCATTTTGCAGCTATTCTCTTTTAAAGTAAGTCATCTTCCTTAAATGATGCTGCAACCTACCCACCATGAATTTACTCTTGACCATGATATAATTTACAAGTGGCTCCAGGAGGGTCAAGGAATCAGCCAGGATTTGAGCTCCTAACTTCTGACTTCTGGTTTGGGACTAGGGTCATGGACTCTTTAAGTACAGTGCACAGTTTTAAGTCAGTTCTCACGTATTTGAAAGTAAACTAGGGTGGTCTGTATGACATTGTGAAACAGGTAAAGGGTGGCCCTTAGTGTATGTCTTTGACCCCACTCTCTCGGAAGACAGGACAGCTGAGCAGGTGTGTTGGTGTGAGGAAACAGAAGGGTAAGCATCTTCCATGTTCACTCTACTGCCAGGCGGCCAAGAGGTGAGCAGGACCAAGAAATAGGTTGTAGGGCATGTAGGATTGATGGGGCACATATGAGATATGCTGAGGGACAGAGAACCCCATAGTGGAGAGTAAGATGAGCATGGATTTGGGGAATGGAAACACCGGAAAAGGGGGTCTGATCCAGGAAAGTTGATAAAGCAACAGAAAGACCCCAAAATACAACCAACATCCAGCCTCACTTGTTTAACCATAAGCATCTGTTACAGTTTTAAGACAGACCATCCCACTATAAGCTCATGTCTTGGACACTTAGTCCTAACTGGTGACACTCTTTTGGAGAGCTCTGGAAACTTTGGGAGATTGCACCTAATTGGAGAGAGTAGGGCCCTGGCTTGGGGGGGGGGCTTAGAGCATATTGTCCCTATATAATTCCTGTGGTCCTCTGTATCCTCTTCACCTTGATGTGAATTGCTCTGCTTCATGATACCTACTCCATCATGATAGACTGAAACAGTAAGCCAGAATAAACCCTCCCTTAAGTGGTCTATGTGAGGTATTTTGGTCACAGTGAAGCATTAACATGTTTATATAGTTTTTAGAAATGGGCAATTTTAATCATGAGCTTCTTTATTTTTTTTAAGATTTATCTATTTTTACTTTATGTGTATCTGTGAGAGTCTGCATATGTGTATGTGCACCATGTGTATGCTGGTGCCTTTGGAGGCCAGAATGATATGGGTGCTGGGAATTGAATCAGGGACCTGCAAGAGCACCAAGTGCTCTTAACCACTGAGCCTTCTCTCCAGCCCCATGGGCTTATTTCTGTCCTAATCTTAAGATCCTGAGTTCAAGCTGATCTTCCCCTTTGCTCTCATCTCTACTTTGCCACTCACATCCTGTCATCCTTTGTGTGTGGTCAGGTTTCATTCCCACCTTCCAACTCAGCTCCTTCCCTGACTCCAATCTCAGCACAGTGTGATGGTCTTTTCCCAGCTCAAATGATTCCTTGCCTCCAGCCTGCGAGGAGCTGTGTTTCAATTCTGACATCCAGGAATCCTGGGGTTGCTGTTCTTTGCATTTGAGAATAGCTAGATTCACTTCTTTGCACACTCATATGATTTGGATGAGACATGGGAAGGAAAGGAAGGAGAAAAATTAGTTTTTGTCGTTTGGTTAAGCATCCTCAAAGGCCCTGTTGTGTGAAACTATTCCTAGGGAGATGTGAACAAATATCTCTCCAAACAAACTAACAAAGATACTACCAAAATCCAATTTGGTGAATCAGCGACTTTTATTGGGGTTACTTATCAGGAATAATGGTGAGAGGTGACTTACAGGAGCAGAAATAACTCAAAGACAGCTACATAAACAAAAGCCCACTCCAGCATGTGGACGGCTCAGGAAAGCTGGAAATCTGAAGCGCACCACGCAACCGCAGATGTTAAGGAGTTTGAAACCACTGGGAAAAAAGACCACCAGACTCAATTCAAATTTTAATTGGTCAAATTTATTAGGGCAATAGCCGTTCACAGTTCCTTAGTCAGAATTAGAACCCATGCCCCTGAGAGGAGGGTGAAACTATCTTATAAAAGCAAAAACCACATGGGAATTTCATCACACATGCGTAATGCCAGGTGGTCCTGAGTATGGTCAGAACGCCAAAGTTAGCAAATAAGCAAACTACAGAAGCCAGAACAAGCTTGTGTTAGTCCTCTTAACAGATGTATAGCGACCTTGACAGTAAGGCACTTTCTGATTAATTACAGCTGCAGTGTCTGGGAGGTGACCAAGGTCGGCTACTCCAAAGAAAGCTCTCTTAAGGGGAAACAACGGAAGTTCAGGTACTTAACCTTGAAGCTGGCTGTTTTTTTAGCCTTTGAAGTTTAAAGTGGCTGCTTTATACAAAATGGAGTTACGTTGGCTATTACAATTTGGGGGACTCCATTTGGGGCCATTACACAGGCAGCTCAAGAGGTTGGAGAGTGTCTCTTCCAGGTGGCTCAGTGGGTCTTGAACCCCTGGGTCTTGAGCCTCTTCCTGTCATCTGGTCTCTTTTTCCAGGCAGCTTGGCTGGTCTAAGAGTGTCTTTCGAAGCCCTTACTGCCTATATATGCTTGGGGAGGGAGGGTGCTAGTGAATCTAGTCAGTTTCAGGGACTTCCTGAAGCTTTTGAGTTGTTTTCTTCCTGAGTTTAAGGAGTTTCCTCTCAGGATGGAATGTTTCACCCCCTCTTAGAACATCCTGTGAATCACATGCTTTGACTATGTTAACCAGCAATGCCCCCTCCTGCCCCTCTGCTTCCCGCTAGTCCTCTTCACACTCCCTTCTCCATTTCATGATGCGCCATGTCATATTATATCATTCATAAACACACATACATATATGTAATCCAGGTTCTACACAGAAATCATGTGATATTTGTCTTTCTTATTCTGACTGATTTCACTTAAGATGATCTCCAGTTCCATCCATTTTTCTACAAATGGCATCTCATTCTTCTTAACAGGTGTGGGGGGGGGCACATGAGCATACACGCATATCACATTTTCTTTGTCCATTCATCCATGAAAAATCAGTCTCTGGACATTCATGTTTATGATTTCACCATTCACAATAGCCAAGTTATAATAGGATTAGCTTAGGTGCCCATGAATGTCCAGAGACTGATTTTTCATGTAACTAATTTCCCTGCCTTCTTGAGCACACAGCTAGAGTACTTCTCCCAGTGTCCTTTGCAGGTCAATGCCTATGTGACTGAATTCTAGCTGACGAGTGGGAAGTAATGTGAGCCACTGGCAGGCCTGACTAATAGAGGCTCTTGTATAACCCTAGCTCCATGATTTCAGCATTAGCTTGATGTAGAAGAGGGATGGAGAGATCTTGGAAACAATGCAGGAAAACTACAGTAAATTAGTTTTAAGATGCCATTGATTTTATTATAAAATATAGCCCAATTATGAATCTTATATATATTTATATGGCTATTTTGATCACTGGAAAGTTTCATTTCCATTGCAAATAGCATATTGGCATTAGGTTTATAGCTTGTGCTCTGGTTGGTTGGGTAATAGTGCCTCGGTCCTGAAGAGTTTGATGAATACTGAGGCAGAGAACCATTAGAAGGTTAAACTGGATTTGTTCACTTTGTCAGCCCTAGAAAACTCACAGCCTTGCATGTGTTACTGGATGAATGGATACAAAGCTGGAGTATGGTGAGGCTCCACAAGGCCTTGCCTAATACACCAGCCAGTTCCCTTCAGATTTACTCATGGAGCATTCTCAGGTTGTCTATGGCCACACCATCCCAATTGTGCCCGGTTTCATCCGAAATCTTTCAGGTGATGCCAAGAA